TTGCATTAAGAAAATACACATAATATTTTAATAAAAGTGATGAAATGTAAAATGAAAATTCTTATGCTTTATTTATCAAATCAAACGGTTTATTAAATAATAGTTAGTACAAATAGTTAAAAAAAATTTTTATATGATTTGATAAACTATATATTTTATTACTTCATAAAGTATTTAATTTGTAAATACTATATGAACTGCTTTGCACTGTACAATAACATTATTGTAATTGCAAATAAAACATACAAACAAATTCTTGGCATAGAAAAAGCTGGCTACTATACTATTATATTTAACAATATGGATTTTTTAATTGAAATATTAAATTTTTATCATGATTATAATGTGAATTATACATATTCTGTAAATAGTTTATTTATAAAATTTAATTTGAGCTTTCAACGTCATTTAGAATTATAAAATAGTAAAGCGACTTCGTATTCTTTCAACATAAACAAATTTTTATGTCCTATAAAATATTATTCCCTAATATAAACTTGTAAAATTGTTAAACTCAATAAAAATTGTACATAATTATTAATTGAAGTTATTATTCTTCATTTAAACTATAATAATAATGTTGTGTAAAGCATTATCCAATCTACATATAAACATTACACACGCGCGTGCAGACACACACACACACACACACACACAGAGAGAGAGAGAGAGAGAGGTTTATACGTAATATATAAAATAAAATTTATGTCAGGTGGTAATGCTTGAAGTATTCAATTAGATTAATGACCGAGAATTGAGAAATCGAACGAAAAGTTTCTTTAGCGCGCACATATTATTTTAAGAATATTGAAATATAAATGCATTTTAATAATTCGTAGATAGCGTATTTTATTCCACATAGATACAAAAGTAATTTTTACATTGTTTAAAAATAAAAAAATAAAAAAATGCGAATCATCATTTCAAGTCTTCGTGGAATACAATCGAGCAGGAATTATTATCTTCATTAATATTCATGTATGTATATGCGTTTTACTTACTAAGCCGTAAAATTATTGCCAAGTATCATAATCTCCATTCGTTGGAAAGATAAACTAAAGCAAGCACGTTCGTCATTTATAAACGAAAAATTTTGGAAAGCTACGGCTAAGATCTCATACAAGATATTTTAATACAATCACAAAGCAAAATTGACGCAACCATAAATCATAAGAAAAGATGGAGGAGAGTCGCGGTGAATAACGCAGATTATATTTTCGTATTCCGAACAATTAGTCGTGTAAAATCCGTGCGCTGTGCCTCGTGTGGTCGTTAGGACGATGCTTTTTTTTTCAAAAGTTATCACAGCTCCGTTAATTGCATGTGCAGGATCCACTCGTATTGCAGCTATACACCCCTCAAAAATAACGAGGGTCGGCAAAGACGAACGGCGTGGCGTAGCGCCGAGGGGGAAAATAGCGCTCAATAACTCGAGAAGCGAGAGAAGTGCCACGTCGGAAAATCATCCAGCCTAATACATAGAAAAGAAGGGACGTGTACTCATAGGTGGGCACACCAAGGGTTGTCAGGGCGCGGTGTGCGCGCATCCGAGGGCGAGCTTCCCTTCGCATCCGCTCCCCTCTTCTTCCTCCGCGTTCCCTTCTTCCTCCAACTACTCCACCTTCGTCTTTCCTCTCGAGAAGTGCATCGATCGTCGGATGTCCTTTAGACAGGAGATTTTTCCAACTGCGACGACGAAGAACGCACGCGCAGCGAGACTCTCATCTTCCGCGAGGAAAAAATATCAACCCCCCTCACTCCACCTCCACCTCCACCACCACCTCAACCTCCACCTCCACCTCCACCTCCACCTCCTCCTCCTCCTCCTCCTCCTCCTACCCCCTACCCACCATTAGTTAAAGTGTCCAGACGCGAGACGCCTGTGCTTAGCGAGCAGCACGTGACTGCGGGCGCGAGGTGGAGAGCTCGTTGTTGGTCTTGACGTTGTTGCTCTCCAATTGCGTTTGCTGTCTTAACCAGAAGAACTCGCGACTACCTTCTTATTTGAGATTTTCAGGGAATGAAGGGCATGGAGTTGTGGATTATGACATCGAGGGCATTAGCGTTTACAAAGGCTGGTGTAAACAAGATTTTGTACTTATTCGCCTAGAAGCGGGTCAATAAAACATAATAAAAAAAACATTCTTCGCTAAGTTGTTTATTTACAAAGTCAGTGTTACAATGGAAAATTGTTATAAGAAAAATGAAGCATAAGTAGCTTTAAAATGCTTATTATTATTTCATCGACGGTTACGTAAATTTAGGCGTCGGTGGCAGTATCTTTTATCTGCCTTCGATATTACGCCCAATAATTTGAAGGTTCGACTATATATTGAATTTTTAACTCGGAATATGTATTACTTATTCAAGCGAGTGACCTAGACGGCCTACAATATTTTTGTATTTACTTGAAATTGCTGATCATGTAATATTTACCGAATGCTTCAATTCTCACTAAAATTGCCCTTCTAACGAATAACGCTTCACTTAATTGTTAATGTTAAGGATCTGCTACATCGCTATTATTAACAAGCAATTTTACTCCATTGTTATTGTTAATAATACTTTTAATAGCCGATTAGTGTTGCAATTATGTTTTTGAATTTGTACACTTATAATTGAAATTAGTATTCATTTGTGCAATTAATAGTCATCCGTATTACCATTGCATAGAAGCATCGTGATTTTGATCCACTCGCTCATACAAAAACAATGAAAATTTTTATGTATTATTAATATATTTGAAAATCTCATTGATGAGAAAAGTATCGAGGTTATTGTCAATTATGGAGAGTATCGTTGTAACAAAGAAGTAATTATAGCTCTATAATTCAATGTCGTACATATTAATTCGAATACACAGTCGGTATTTGAAATGTTTGCATACAAAATGATTTACTCCTTACTCGTAATAGCTAGTAATTTATTTCATTTGCAAAATTGATGTTCAATTGACATAAACGTATGTTTTCTTTTTTGTTTTTTTGTTTGTTTTTGTTCTTTTATTTTTCATATACTTTGTAATGTAATTGAAGTGCCCGCCGCCTCCTCCTCGGCTTTTCTTTGTACTAAATTAGACATCGTGAATAGTAAACTTTAGCTTATTCGCGTAAACAAGAGATTAATTTTTATGAAAATACATTTCACGTAACAGCTCCGTAATACTTTATCTCAGAATTGTACAGTTTCTTGCTATCTTCGTAAATAGTGCTGCTCCAAATCTCGTCTCTCGACTTTAAAAAAAAAAAAAAAAAAAAAACAACAACAACAACAACAACAACTAAGCCAATAGCAAGAAAGCCTTGTAAATATTTCGAAACGGATATAAAAATGCGCATCGTGACGGATATATTCCCCGCCGCCTGTGCTCCTGTCAGGCCTCTTCGTCGTCGTTGTCGTCGTCGTCCTCCTCCTCCTCCTCCTCCTCCTCCTCCTCCTCCTCCACCCTCCGATTATCTATCTTGTAAATAGCGAGTGTGAGCACTGCCGAGATTGTGCGTCTTTGGAATTTTATCGATCCACCAGCGAAAAATACGAGATTCGTCAACGTGCCTTAAAAAGCCCGGCTCATAAGCAAAAGCCGCTCAATCGCGAAATCTCGGACACGAGTGCACGCGAAAGGTTTCACGGCCACATGACGGGTACAATAAATCTAATAATTCGCCTCTGAAGCGACTATAAGTGACCGAATCGACTCGTGCTACCGAGACTTTGCTAGTCGCAGTAGTGCACCAAGCTAATCCCCCATCAATCCTGTTGCGCACTGTCGTAAGCATCGTCGTTGGGAAAGAAGGGGCGGAGAGGCGAGTGAACACGTGTTGCGTAGAGCGGAAGAGAAATATTTTTATGCATCGTAGTTTGACGAAGAGCTTTCCGTGAAAAGAAATGCCCGTTCGTCGAGAATAATAAAATTTAACAACTACGTCGATGTGCTCGCTACGACTTCTTCACGCTGACGTACATTATTATCGGCTCCCATTGCCCCTCATCACCTCTCATTCTACTTGAATAATCTATATGTCCGGCATTATTACTTGCGTCGGAACATTCAAGAATGTTTGACACTTATCGTAATCCCCTGTGTGAAACAATTATTCGCAGAGTCTCCCGATGTACATGTATCATGACACATTATTTATCTATATTTGCTTAATGATCAATTCATAATTCATTCCACAATGATAAAGAATATTAGAGTTGTCAAACTAACGCAAGAACTTTGAATTTAGAAAAAATCAGTTTACGAATGTATACAATTTTTAAATACGAAAAACGAATTGCATAAACCTCTATTGTTAACTTGTATTCTTACTTAATTATCTTATCAAGACTTATGATTTTCTCTCTGTGGGAGCACATTGCCAATTACTGTAAAATCAGAGCATAAAAGTTTAATTGTCGAGCGCTCTTTTACTTTTTATTTATTTATTTATTTTTTTTTTTTTTTTTTTTTTTTTTTTTTTTTTTATTTTCAATGGATTTCCATGGATAAATGGGGATTAGGTTTGAGAAGCTTTGATCATGTAGAAAATAGTAGTAAGTCTTCCCACAATCTCTTTGATACCGTAATTCCATTGCTTTGTTCGGACCTTAATATACATAGTCGTCGCTTTTTAATTGACAATCATACATATTAATATACGACTGAGAAGCAAATTGTATGTTAAACGTTGAGGACGATCTAATAAAGCGAAAAATAAAGATCTAATACTTTAAAAATTGACGCACATTTTCTATAATTGTACTACGAATTTTTTCTATAACAATAGGACGTTTAAGACTTGAAGATTTATTCACTACTAAAAAACAAAAAACGAAAAGTGTTGATTCAAAATAGATTAGAATTTGTGTACACAAAATACATTTGATTTACAAGATATGTCAACAGAATTTTATTCATAAAATGCATCTCGTTTCCACACTATACCCGATATCTTTCAAATGAAAATTCGTCACGTTACATATCAAACAAAGAATTTACCATTTTACTTTATTTTCAGGAAAAAATCTCTACAATAATGAACACGTAGCAATTAAAATGGTAATAATCATTTGTTACACGATTAATTATTAAGGAGATGCTGGATGCCAATACGCTTATAAATTGCAATATTATTTGAATAAAACTTTAATAATTTTTTATTTTTGATTTTACTTTATGTCTTTATCAATTTGATTCGATTATTTAATAAACAAGTCGGAGAATAGATTTTTTTTTTTCATTTTAAATTATTTATTGCCGAACCTATACTTGAAACACATATCATGTATTGATTCAAATAAAATTCACGGTAATTAAATAGAGAGATATACCAACTTTTAACATTCAATCAATGAAATGTATACAATGCTCGATAAATGTTTAGAATATGAAAATAACTTCTTTGAATTTTTCATATTTAATTATTTGTTTGCTTGAAATTTCTTATCGATAATAGATATATTCTTCGGCACCGAAAATGCCTCACTTTTGATGCTCGTATGCGAGTTCCAATTATACATTACTTTAACAAAAAAATAATCAATGAGCATTAAAAGCTTATTAATTCAAATCCAATATCCTCGATTATTCTTAAATATTTCAAGACTGTAACCGTGAAGTTCGAAAGTTTTGCATGAAATAATCAGTTAAAAGTAACTCCATCGTATATAGGAAATTATTTAATAAGCATGTACATTTAAATTGGCGAATTCTGAAATTTTACAGTACGTTATTGAGAGTCAAATGAATTAAAATCTAGACGGTAAAATTATTTCAAGTTTTTTTTTTTTAAAAAATTGTGTCGACTTGACTAAATCTGCAATGCCACAGAATACGCAGACATAATAAATATATATTACGCGTGTCACGATATGTTAATTGTAGAAGGTTAAATATGGCCAAGGATATCTTCAATTTTTTCGCACATTCGACGACCAATTAATTTTCCAAAATTTCTAAGAATTTTCTTTTTTTCTTTTTCCTTTTATTCTTCCTCTTATTTAATTCTTTATTATCAAATCGATCTACTACTATGGAAATGCAACGGAAGTGTAAACAGGCGTTTAACAGGTATTGAAACTAATGGTAGCATCGTATATTAAAGAGGCGTATTGGTACAAAGCACTTGGCAATACATTGACGAATGCGCGATTCTGCTAATCAGTCGACTTTGCTAAAAACGTTTGCCCGCAGGAACCAATGAAGTCAAAGGCGCCACAGCTTCACTTGGAATATAGGTTTTACAAATTATTAGGTACACAGGGTAAGTATAGCGTTAATCACGCCGATTGCGGCAATCGCAGCAACAGGTCGACGAATGAGAAATACTTATGTGAGAATACACGTACAGAAGGCGTGCCGGAAGTGTATTATTTCGGCCCGTGCGGCAAATACAACGCGCTGGTGATGGAACTCCTTGGTCCAAGCCTCGAAGATCTCTTCGACCTCTGCGGGAGAAAATTTACCTTAAAGACCGTCCTCAACATTGCCACGCAACTTGTAAGTTATCCAGCGACCTTGTCATGTCTTTCTCCCTGCCGTTTCCGGAGCACCGCATTTCAGCAGAACCGGTCGTCCGCTCCTGTCACGTCCATTCGATCGTCGTAGCTGAGAATAACATTAATTATTAAAACGCTTAAACCCTCGGTTTTTTTATCCTTACATGCAAAGTGCTATAAGAGCTCGTAAGCTATTGTCAGGTGAACATTTAATATTTAAATCTAAGGCTCCCTTTACGAGTGCCCTTTCAAATACCAAGGAAGTCAATAACAAATTTATTCTTACTTGAAAATATTAGCGAACAGCTAAGTATATTTTTCCAATTATTCAGCATTGTCTTGCCGTTCTTAAATATTTGCCTTTTATCATTCTGTGCAATTTGGCTACTTTAATAATGGCATAGCCATTGATAGTTGAAAACAATAATACGCCTGTTTTATATTTAAGAATATTCTCAACTTAACACTGTTTAGCTTAACTTTTAATGACAATAATAAATAAGAGATAAATTGATCGAACCACCGCTACGTAGTGAATTTCGTTTTTTTATTTTCTGGTTTTTTTGTTTTTTTTTTTATTTTTTCTACTGCGACATTAAGTAATTCGAAAGTTAATACATATAAATAAATTTTATTCTTGAAATTAATAAACTATATTAATTATTATTTTAAATAATTTTTTAAAATTTTAAATCTTAACCTTGACGGTAAGATGAGACTGCGGTTGTATTTCTAAATATATATATATATATTAAAAAATCTTTGTAGAATAGCGTTTAACAAAATTTTCACGGTAAAATAATAGTTATAAAATAATATACCAAAAATATAAAGTTTTTACTCTGTGGCAAATTACAAAAATCAAATGTTTTCATTACTTAATTAATTGTTTACGTTACATTACCTATGATTACATAAATATTTAACATCATAGATAAATTACGTAAAAATTGGCGAACCTAAGGTTAATTAATAAATACGGCTTATTGGTCGAATAAAATAGACAATTTAGTAAATAATTTTATTTTTTACAGCTCCATAGGATAGAATACGTTCACAGTCGACATCTTATATACCGGGATGTAAAACCGGAGAATTTCCTCATCGGACGAAATACGACCAATAGGGAAAAGATCATTCACATCATCGACTTCGGACTAGCCAAAGAGTACATAGACCTGGAAACCAATAAACACATACCTTATCGAGAACATAAAAGTCTGACGGGCACAGCGCGATACATGAGCATTAACACACATCAAGGAAAAGGTTAATGAATAATTCGATTTTTAATTAAATCAGGATCATTGCGGGCTAATGTAGTAAAATACACATTATTTGCCCTGACCTTTCTTTTTAACGGCCGATAATAACTTTATTGTTTTTTATTTATTATGTTTAAGCCGATTATAAAGCATTATTGCAAGTATATGTTTTTGCATTTAATTTACAGCTTTATTTTAAATGGAACACATACTGTAGTTCGAAATTCATAGCGAATTTATAAAGTTATAATGTTATATCACCGATTTTTCATTAGTCAGCGTGGAATTCTACTTTACTTGAATTTATATTCACGTTGATCACGAACACTCGGATATCCCTTTTTATAGCACAAGTATAGTCGAAATTAAAAATCCATTTGTTTAATGTCAGTGTAAAGGAAAATAAATTTAAATCGGCCGATATCTTGGATTTTTTTTACATTTGAGCCATGTCTATTCGATATATTCATTTTATAATATACGCAAAGCTATAACTTTGAAGACCCTTAAAAAATATTTCGAAATAAAATCATTCCTAAGGTTTATTACTATCCTGTATATACACACATACACACACACACACACACACACACACACACACACACACACACACATATATATGATATGATATGATATGATATATACAATGGCATTTATTATCGACAATCAAAATATACTAATAATTTATGTTAAATCGGTTTTATTGATTTTTTTTTTTTAAGCCATTGGCAATACGATATCGAAGATTAATTTATAAAAATGAGAAACAAACTTCAATGTCCATTGGAACGTACATTTAAAATAAATCTTATAATTATAAATATTTAACAAAAACCATACTTTCCAATCTTACGGATTACGCAAGGCTGTTGTGAAATTGTTTTTTTTATTTTTTTATTTTTATTTTTAATATTGTTTCACAGAAAGTGACGAATCAGTTTTATAAATGTATAAATGTGGTAGTACGAAGAGCGAGTTCGTCCTAGATGCACAAGTTATAACATATATCGAATCACTATTTTTTCACTCAGATCAATAATCAGTTTATTTAATGACGTTATTATTAAGCTTCTACGTTCAATTATTACTGCCTTATTGCAAATAAATTTCTAATATTTAAAAAGTGGGTTAATTGTATGAGAGGACATGGATGAGATGCTGCGAGGACTGCGGAGCAACTAAAACATTAATACAAATTAAGAATTAAAAGGCAACACTCTTGTTTACAGAACAAAGCCGAAGAGACGACCTCGAGGCGCTCGGACACATGTTCATGTATTTTCTAAGGGGTAGTCTGCCGTGGCAAGGACTGAAAGCCGACACTCTGAAGGAACGATATCAGAAAATCGGTGATACGAAACGCGCCACGCCGATCGAGGTACTGTGCGAGGGTCATCCCGAAGAGATGGCCACATACCTGCGCTACGTGCGCAGACTCGACTTCTTCGACACACCGGACTACGAGTACCTGAGGAAGCTCTTCCAGGATCTTTACGACAGAAAAGGCTACGCCAGCGACGCCGAGTTCGACTGGACGGGCAAAACCATGGTGAGTGGCACGTTGTTTAGCTTGCCCTTGACTTTATTTCCATTTCCTTCGCGATCTCTGTACGTTATCTCTCTCTCTCTCTCTCTCTCTCTCTCTCTCTCTCATCCTTCCATTCTCCCCACTCTGTATCAATCTGTCACATCTCTGTCTGCATTAACTTTAACTTTGACATCTTAACAATATATCTTAATTGACTTGCAACTGAGGCATGGATAAGAGACTTTTTCATTCTGAGCATGCGCATGAAATTTTCAAGGCAAAAAAATGACGGGTGAACTCCTCGACACACGAGGTTCGATAAAACAGAAAAAATGTAATACGAAAGAAAAGTGCACGAGAACCGCATGGTAAGCGACTCTATGAGTGCATAAGAAATGGCAAGTTCTCCGCACGTTTGCAAGTAGTTTTCGTGAAACATAGAGCTTACCGAATTTTTCTCAACATTTGCATGCTGCCCAATAAACAATGTACGTCCTGTAGCCACCAAACTTCGCGCAGCTCAGAGCACTAAGGATGGCAGCCCCATCGCATATACAGAAAACTAAATCCGACAAGGTTGGTAACCTTTATCAACTTTGTTTCCTATTATTTGGATAATAATCATATAAGCTTTCGTTAACGTTGTCATCGTCTTCTAGTGCAATATCGTTTGTGTGCTCAAGTACGTTGTAAGCCAAAAGTTACTCTCATTCAAATTATTATTTCTTTTTAGTTTAAGGCATCTAGACTATGATCATTGTTATTCGTGATTCTTTTTAACATTCGCTAATGGACTTAATATTTTTTTGCAGTCGACGCCAGTAGGATCGTTGCAGACGGGCCATGAGATCCTCGTCTCACCGAATCGAGACAGACATCCTGCAAATTACAAGGTAATTGAGATTATCCGTTAGAGCTTCGACGCAGCATGCAAATTTGGTAGCTGATATATTTTTTTTTTTTTACCTTTTTTTTCCATTCGTTTTTTGACCGTATGATTAATCGCATGAGAAAACGTTGAATCGAGATTGAAGTAATTTAAATTATTCTATTCTAGAAGCTATACGTTTGTCTTAACTGCGCGATCTTGCAAGTTAATTATGAAAACAAAACATAAATATATGCTGTAAAATAAAATAAAAAAAATAAATAAAAAAAAAAAAATTAGCGAATTCAAAGATATTTTGATGAATATGTACTTTAAATGATTGCCTTCTTTCATTGATTGCACTGGTCGGATTAATCTCGGGATATCTGATGCGATTTAAAGGAATGCAATGATAACGAAGATTTTATTCTCATAACGGATGAAGTTTGTTGTGTGGAGATGCACGGCAAATACGTAAGCTCATTAAAAAATATTTTTTAACAATATATTCCAGTATATAAAGTAGGCTAAGTTAACGCTATATCGTATGGCTACGTCCCTGCCAAATTAGCTTTTTTGTTTTTATTTTCGTTTTTATATTTATTCAGATAGACTATGAAAGCGTAGATAGAGCCTCTTTTGTAAAACGGTGTGTCGAGCGGAGCGTAGATATTTATGTCTTGGATACAATTATCACCAGGTCTTTCGGCAAAATTGTCACTAGTAATAATAGTTGCTTTTACGTTTTAAATAGCTGCTGTAGAAAATATTTTACTTCATTTTCTATATATATATTTTTTTCTCTTTCATTTGTTTGTATATAGTACTCAAACATTGCCATTATAGTAACATCAAATGTATTTTAATCATAACACAAACACTTCGAATGGAAAGTTTGTTTACTAAACAAGATTTAGCTTATTTATAAAGCCAATGGTATAATTAATTTGCCTATAAACTATAATTAGCCGGATAATCTGCAATCATTGATTTGCGATATAAATATCTGAAAATAATCAATTAATTTACCACAATCATTAATATTGTAAACCTTTCTAAATTATGTAGAGCTGATAGTAAAGTGAGATATAAATTTTGTTAAAATTAAAATTCATTTTTTAATCCCCAATATTAATGTTAATTCAAACGAAAGAAATGACTAATAATATGATGATAAAACGATGTGTTGCTTTTGGCATTTTTAATTATATTTACACGATCGAAAGGAATTACACAACATATAATCCGATTATTTCTGCTTGAGATTGAAATTGATCACTCAATTTTTCGATATAATCTTCCAAGCATTTAAAATTTAATGATAATTTGATTAAAATAAAATCTTTATTAGTAAGCAAACGGTGTTCTCTATAAACTAATGAAACTCAGCTGTTAAGACAAAACGTAAAAGTGGAAAAATCCGTGTGCCGCGGGCCACGTTCCATTTTGCCAAAGGCGCCTGAGTGACGAGTAGGCGATAACAAGCATACAAGTCATGAAATAACTAGTCGGTTGCATTACTTAAGGAACATACCGATATCCTCTTTTTTTTTTTTTTTTGACTAACTCCTATCGTTTGCGACACTGCGTCGTGTTTATTCCTTCAGGACGCGGCTGGTGACGGGGTGGGAGGAGGGGGCGGTAAGGGGGTAAGGGGGACAATCAAGCAATCGGGCGCCAGTGGCACCTTGACACCCGCCGACAGACATGGCTCCGTACAGGTGAGTCCATATCCTCTTCTTTTCCATCGCTCTTCTTTGCTCTACTCTACTCCAATCCCCCTTCCCTCTCTTTCTTTATCTTATAACACCACTTCTCACACCTTCACCTCACCGAATCACACGGAACCACGACACATACTGCGCTACAACATACTACAATCCATCACAACTCGACTCACTCTTTTTTTTTTTAATTTGCATCCTTATATGACCTCTCTTCATTCTCCTCATTACCAATCTTTGTTTGTTACTATTTTCAGTTTGTGCTCTATTCAGTATTTTGCCCTCTTTACACAATATACTATATTATTTGGTACGATATTTATTCTAACTGACTGTACGTCAATTACATTTTGCTATATAATTTTTTTGTTTTGTTTTTATTTTTTTCTTAAATGAAAAGTGAACCACTGAACCTACGTAAAGTGGGTGGCTAATTTTAATTTATTGTTATTTGTTTCTATTTTTGATTTGATTATAATTCAAAACGAACTACTTATTAGGCATAATATAAACAGTATAATGGATTAAAATTTAACAGTACATGAAACTTTCCATTTTATAAAGGAAAAAAATTTAATTAGCGTTTGTAATTATTAATGATAAAATAATGTAATTAAAAATCCTATCTTGATTTAAAAAAAAAAAAAAAAAAATAGGTAACATTTAAATTTAGAGAAAAACAATGTTACATAAAGTAATAATCTTCGTTAACGATAAGAAAGTAGTGAAATATTAAGAAAAATCTTTTTTGTCACTGAATTATCTTAATTTAGTTTCCTCCTTATCTGCCTCCCTGTTTCGTAATACCCATCTCGTTACTAAATTAACTCTAAATCATTTATTGTGATACTTTTACTTTTTTTTTTATTATTTTTTTTTTTTTTTTTTGTATTTTTGCGAGTCGACTATATGTTATCATTATTTCTATAATAATTAAAAATAATCAGTCATAGGGCATTCTGAAATTCAATGAACATTACAAAACCTTTTCAATTACTTGCTACGTATGAAAATTTTGTCCATAATATATAATAAAAATAATACAAATATACAAATCACTTTATGATAACATAATTTAATCAGTACTTTCCAATAAATAAACTTTAATACACACGCACGCACACGCATAATATATATCATAATTTCTATTGCAAATAACATATATAAAACAGAAAGCTACATGAGATTTGTATTTCATTCTCATTAACAGCATTACGGAGAGTGAAAAAATACACTTTAGCGACCGGTAACTTCCCTGCATATCGTTAAAGTATAAAAATGCATATCTGATACATGTAAATTTTTTTTAAGATTGAATGTACGAGTTGTTACATATGACAGTGCTGAAAAAGATGTGCGTGAATATGACTGTTCTCATCATTGTTCAAAAACAATCGAAAATTATTTAGAAAAAAGCATTGTGTAGACAATTTATTCTGTTTATTATATCCGTATAAGCAATCACTCGGTAATTCAAGAACGGCGTACTAATAATATTTCGATATATACGGAGCGCAATTTAGGGTCAAACGTTTTCAAAAATACGTTAATAGAGAGAGAGAGAGAGAGAGAGAGAGAGAGAATTTATTACGCAAATTTAAAAGCACTAAAGAAAATTTTGTAATATTGAAAAATTCAATGGTATATGACGAATAAAAGCAAATAAATAACTGGAACTTTTAGAGTACAAAAGACATAATTATAAAAATGTTTATATTCAATATTTTTATAACAGTAAGTTCTTTGCAAATACTACTATTTATTAATATTGATATGCTGTTACGAAATAATATACGTTTATCTGATCTTAGCAATATAATAGACAGTTTTAAAAACTTCTAGACATTCAAATTAACTTTAATATTTGCAAAATTGTCATTAAATGGTAGCGGAAATTTTTAATTTTAAATATTGTTTACATTTCGGATTTGATATTAGATGGAAAATATAGGACAAGTATTATTCAATTTTTCAAGCCAATTTCAACGAACAAAAATGATTTTATCAGTAAAATATATTTGTAACCATATAATTATTAATATTTATGTAAGCAATAACTTAATTTATCCTAGTTTTATCTGCAGTCTATATTTATCTAAGAGATAGCCAATAAATAAATACTTAATGAAATTTGTAACTACGGATTTTCATATAAAATAAAAAATAGCTACCTATCAATCTTCATAAAATGTTATATTTAAGTGCATCGAGATAAAGTCACTATAACCTTTCTTTAAATATTTAAAAATAGATAATAGATTATAAATAGATTGCATGAACTAGAATTTAAGTATTTTTAATGGCTAACATATTGATGGTAAAGGGCTTAAAAATTTATTAATTAACTCTGTATGCTAATCATTATCAATTTAAAAATAAATTTTGAGAATTTATAAAATAATTCATTTTATTTGTTGACGTAATAATTACTCGATAATTTTTGGTGGCGTTAAAATATTATGTATAATAACTTATTGTCAATATCTATTTAATTTTCTTTTCTTCTTCATTTTTAAGTTTAATTATAAAGCTTTATCATGATTCATTTTAATATACATAAATATACTGATTCATGAATCATTTTAATTACGTACATTTTTCATAATACATAATAACATTGCATTATAATTGTATGTAAAAATGTTTATATATACACTAAATATCAATTATCTTCGATATTAGATTGAATTATAGTGTAAAAAGTAGTGTAAAAATTATTAAAATAATTTAACTAAAAATCTTAGAACTGCTTAGCCAAAAGCAAATAATTCATTACTTTTATATTATGCTTTTTTAATTTTTATGACAGCATGTAAGATTTGTTATGTATTTTTTCTTCCGATTCCTAAATTGTAATTGTGTTGTTTTGCTGTTAAGAACTAACATGAATCGCGATTCTGATAATTAAAATAGTTAAAATTTTAGAAATTCTTTTATAAAAAAAAATAATAATAATAAAAAAAAAATTAACGGATTACAATTATATAATTTAAAATGGTAAAGCTCATTTGTAACGCATATCATTATTTTTATATAAAAAATACATATACACATATATTTATTAATAATAGATGTAATAAACGATGATGAATCATTTTGAAAATGAGTTCATGGTCGGGCAGTTTGATTTCGCCCAATATTTATTTACAATAAAGTTTAAAAAAAAATCTTAAAATTTATTATAAACGCTAGATTAATATTGCGTAGAATATTTAAAGCGTTGATTTAAAAAAAAAAAAATATATATATATATATATATATATATATATATATATATATATACTAATAAAAATTCAGTCAACGCCAATTATAAAGACAAAATTTGCTTTTACTTCGGTAAATAAAATCCTGTGAAAAAGTTATAAGTGAAAATTCATATAAATCGATCGACGTTTAGTGAACGATTTGCGTCACGTCATTTTAAAGAATGTAATTTTTAGAAAAAAAAAACGCCTGTAAACATCGGCAAGACCGAGTGTACGTGTCGGAATCCGGATTGCGCTTCTATACAATTTAAGATAAAAGGGATAAAAAAAAACATACGTTTCGTGTCCAAAATTGACATTACATAATTTTTCTCTGTCATTAAATGAATATTAACGTAAAGTTAGAGTTTTGGAAAATGTCAGAGCAGTTTTATCTCTTAATATTACGTTTTTTTTTCATTTTTTTTTTTTTTTTATTTTTTATTAGCAAGCTATAATAATGATAAAACAAAAAAAAACCTAATGTCTCCATTATTTCCACATGATTATTTACTTACTATTAGCATTTATTAATTTCGTACCTTTTTACTTTTATTGGCACTTTCGTTATTAACTCGTTTTAATTTAACTCTGTACAGACCCCAAAACTGTCGCCTTTAATCCACTGATTTAGGTGCTGCGCGCGCCTATAGATAATAAGCGTTCATTTTCAAAAGAAAAACGAAAGTAAATGAATTAATTTGAACTCACCAGGTTGTATCGTCGACGAATGGAGAGTTGGCAAATGATGATCCAACGGCTGGCCACTCAAATACACCAATAACAGCACCACCAGAAGCGGAAATGATAGATGAAACCAAGTTAGTATATATTTTGTAAAATCATTATTATCTCTTTCTCTCCTCGCTCTGGCTCTATCTTTTTTCTTTCTTTCTATAAATATAATACCCATATAAGACACATAATGTGTGATTATGCAACTAATGCATATGTAAAAGTTCGTTTAGTTCTACAGGCCTGTTTTTTTTTTTTTTTTTTTTTTTTTTTTTTTTTTTTTGCCAATTGTTATATAAAGAAAATTATATGCACTAACGAATTCTGAATTTGTTTTCTAGTTTTATATATTTTGCTAATGACATATTTTCATTAATAATAATTTTATAAATTCCAATGGAATCATAAAGGATATTGATTTCTCTTCATTTATGTTTGCATCTCTTGAATAATATATTCATAATAATAAAAAAAAAAAAATTATTAATTTGACGATAATATGTCATATGAAAGATACTAATTCTACGAGAAAGGAAAATTGTCAACGTCAAAAACAATTTATAATCTTCCACCGCATTGTTAAAATTGCTTGATGCGCACATTAATAATCACGCATTATTATTGTTTTACTTTTTTTTTTTAGATCAACACAAATAGCACAAAACAAAAATAGTGTGTCGGTTGGAAATTCTAATAAATATTCAGTAGATAAATTAAGAGCTGTACACGAAGCGTATAGAAAAGTATTGAATACTTACACATGGCCAGTTCAAAATTTTCTTTTAACTAACATTGTAGCGAAGATAAAAAAAGATGGTTATTTTGATATTCCACTGAGGTATGAGTAAGAAATTTTTTGGACAGTCCCAAGAGATTGCTATCATCAAGCTATGCTCATATTATTTGTAATACATATTTTTTTTGTATAAAAAGTGATATTTATTTTACAAAATTAGAAAAATAATTTAGAGAATAAAATATTGCACTTAACTATCACGTATGTTTTTTCTGTTTGTCTTTTTACCATTTCTCGTAAACGCAAAACTTTTCTTTATTAAAAATCGTTATCTTTTATTTATTTACAATTTATTTAACATTGCAACTGTTATAAATTATTTATTACTACATAATTATTTAACGCTTTTTATTGTTATTTTCATTTGGCGAATGGAAATTCGATGCAAATTATTCAACAAGGAATATTTTCTTGAATATTGCAGCAAATTATAAATACATGCAAAAAAAGAAAATATATATATGTATATATACATGAATATGTATAAACAGGTATATATATGACATATGTGTGTATAATTATAAAAATATTTTTTTAAATACATAAAAATTAGTATAAAATGTTATTAAAAGTAATGTTATGATTTCATACATAAGTTTATAGAAGTTTGAACCAAGACTGCATACTTTCTTACGATACGAAATATTTTTTGCAAATAAAATTATTGCACGCGCATGCGCAATCAATGATGCATAGAGTAAAATAGAAATTTTTTGGGCTTATGGAAAAATTAATGTATATATTAATGCTAAAAATATATATATTACAAAGTATTTATCAAGATTTTGTACACATTATTTTTTGTTCAAGAAAAAATATTTTAATTAATGTTCTTCTAAGTTCATAGTCGTTTACGTTTAATGCCGATGACAATATTAAACTAGATAAATTTCACTGCGATCTCGAGATGTTAATCTTAATAGTAATCACGTTGCAGCTTCAGTCTAATTTATTATATTGTACAAGTCTCGGTTTTTTCACTCATATTATTTCATATTAAATTTGTCAATTTCCATTTGTCATGTCAATTTCAAAAAGTTTATATTTAAAGCCTCGATATCAATAATTTTTGCTATTTTACCGATTTACTTAATAATTGCGTTATTTAGCATATTTTACAGTATTAAAGTATACATTTATACATTCATAATGTCAAAGTTGACGAATTAGTTTTTTTTTTCAACCAATTGATTTCTTATCAAATCCATCCCATCGATGAAAAAAAAAAAAATAATAACCCAATGAATTATTAACAATTATATTTACTGCATTGTGTCACATAAATATAACTAATCCAAAAATATTGAATAAAAAAATATTCAAATAAAGAAGAACGTAACGTAGGTATCCATTTATTCAAGCCTCTATTAATTTGGAGAACATACTTTCGACTGTCTCTCATCATCTTTTCCTATAATTTTCAACAATTTTCTGCAGTTATACTTCAAACCTATGAACCATTCATGAATCTTTACCGAGACTTACATATTTTTTAGATTGAATATCATGAAATTTTGTCGTTGATCGGATAAGCTCCGACGATTAAGTTCTTCACGCGATCGGTATCGGGAATCTGTCTTCTCATCAACGGCAATTTTTCTGGAATTTCTCACAAATAACGTAGGTCTAATTTGACAATATGCAAACGGAAGATAAATTAAGCACAAGAGCGCTAGGAGAAAGTGCGTCGGCGGCAAGTATCGAAACGGAGCAAGAAGTAAATTAAACGTACGCCAATACGGCATTAACTCACATATCATTATATCTTCCCTTACACAACATCCCATCCCGTATTTAATTAACGAATTTCATTTCGAGCAGGGAATGTGCTCCATTTGTCTCTGGATAAAGCGACATCCCGCCACTGTATTTGATGCATTACAATAACTGAGCTCACACGATTAAAATATCAAACGAGAAAGCGCACCTGTCGTGATTATCTAAAGCGGACGAATCGAACGCCGGATCCATCTGACGAAATATCGACAATCGTCGCATTATAATTTATATATTTTCTTGTACTAATTTCATTTTGCTCACATCACTCTATCTATCTATATATCTCTATCTTTCACGCTCACTCGTTCCCCCTGCTCAGCCTGCTATTCGCTCTACCTTCCATCGTCCTTCCCTTCCCTTCCCACGCCCTTCCCTTCCCTTATCACTCACTCTATCTGTTTTGATAATTCATCGCATGCGCACCTCGTGCCAAGCAGCCGAATACACGCACCCACCCACGCATGCACGCACGCACGCACCCACGCACCCACTCACTCTCGCTGGCTCGCTCGCTCGCACATCATTAAAATCATTAAAAAAATACAACAAAACTAAGAAAAAGAAAAGAAAAATAATTAAACAGTAATAATAATAATAAGAAAAATAAAAGAAAGGCCTCAGAAGTGAAAGCGATTCTAAGTCCCATTAGTATTTGCTTAATTTCCAGATGCTGCTGCTTCTTCAAGCGAAAGAAAAAGAAAAGTGGCCGACAGAAATGACTGACCGTAACGGTCGGTCTCGGGGGTACCACGGTTCAGTGTACGGGTGTTAATGCCGGGGGCGGAGCAGGAGTTGGAGAAGGTGGAGGAGGAGGAGGTGGTGGAGGTGGAGGAGATGGAGGAGGAGGAAAAGGAGGCCCCGTGGAGCGCCTCGGAGCGAAGCGAGGACTAATCGACGGCGGCCGCGTGGCGGCCCTCGGCCGGGGAGATCCGGAGCGCGAGGCCGTAACGCTGCTCCGCGCCAGCAGCCACTCGGTCTCCCGTGACTCGGTCCTGCACACCGTCACCCTGACACCAACCCCCACCCCCACCCCACCGCCTTTGTCCAATTGAATATTCACCCAGACTCGCAAGAAGAAACACGCGCGCGCGCTCACACCCACTTACATGTACATGCGTATACCTGCCTACCTACCTACCTGTTCACCACCCCCATGCTCCCGCACGCCCACCCATCCAAACACACGCGCGCGCATGCAAACAAACAAGTCACACACTCGCGCACGCACACGAAACACAAAACATAAAAAACGAGCCATCGCATAACTACCATGGAAATCGCTACTACTGCAGATATATCAACATTATCATCTTTATTCCTCGTATTATCATTACTATTTTTATTTCTATTATTATTATTATTATTATTATTATCATCATCGTCATCATCATCATTATTATTATTATTATTATTATTATTATTATTATTATTATTATTATTATTATTATTATCATCATCGTCATCATCATCATTATTATTATTATTATTATTATTATTATTATTATTATTATTATTATTATTATTATTATCATCATCGTCATCATCATCATTATTATTATTATTATTATTATTATTATTATTATTATTATTATTATTATTATTATTATCATCATCGTCATCATCATCATTATTATTATTATTATTATTATTATTATTATTATTATTATTATTATTATTATTATTATCATCATCGTCATCATCATCATTATTATTATTATTATTATTATTATTATTATTATTATTATTATTATTATTATTATTATCATCATCGTCATCATCATCATTATTATTATTATTATTATTATTATTATTATTATTATTATTATTATTATTATTATTATCATCATCATCATCTTTACACTATGATTATGATTACGATTACGATAATTATGATTATTATGGTTATTATTATTATTATTATTATTATTATTATTATTATTATTCATCGTTTTCACGATCATCAATCAATAATTATAACTTGATTCCCCTCGTTTGCAAGGTCATTGGTCTGTTATCGTCGTCGTTATCGTCGTCACAGTTTCATTCTGGTACGGAGCTCGTACGGAAAGTTAAAAATATTGTTGACGGAAAGTAGCTTAATTATTTGTGCGACGAAATATGCTTCTTCACGACGTAATTATCTTGTGCTTCTCGAGATAAAAAGTATACACATATATATGTATATATCCATACGTGCATGTTTTTTATTATGTGTGTGTGTGTGTGCGCGCGCGCGTGTGCGTGTGTGTTTGCACGCGCCTGCTTGTATGTATATGTATATATACGTATCCATGTGCATGCATGTGTGTGTGTGTGTATGCATGTGTGTGCGCGCGTACATGCATACATATGTATGGACGCATGTATGTATATACATATATATACATATATATATATATATGTGTGTGTGTGCGTGTGTTGTGTGTGTTGTGTGCGCGCGCGCGCGCGTTTGCGTGCGTCTGTGCGCGTGTGTATGTATGTATATACATAAATGTATGAATGTATGTATGTATGTAAGCATAAGAAACAAACTGTGACTGGTTACTGCGACCGCAAGATGTGTGTTCGGTCGAAGTGTACCGATTTTTTTCGGCAGAGAGAAATGTCGTTCTCGTTGATGGAAAAATTTCTTTAAGGAATTGAAACAAAACGTTCTTGTGAGAAATAAAAGGTTTTTCTTAATTTCTCGTGTAATTTGTTGATTTGACTTGTATTTAAGATAATTAAATTAATTATTTAATGTAGCGTGCGAAACTGCTAAGCCCATTAGGTGATTTATTTTTTTCTTCCATTGATTTTAGAAATTTTCCCATCCATCTTTAAAAAGAAATATGGTTAAGTAAATAATTAAATAAATAAACAAATAAACGATAAATAATAAAAAAGGAAGCATGTTCCTAATTTAAAGGGGTATGTATTGTCTACATTTACCTCGCGACTTAAAAGTATCAACCTAACCATCAATAAGCTGCTCTAATTATAAGATATTAGGATTTGTGTAAGAGTCGTATTCACTAGAGAGCACAATAAAACGATAATAAGCCGTTAAATTACGCGAAGCTTTAAGTAAATAGATTAAATGGCGTGTCGTGCAATTATTGGATAATATGTGGCAAAAGCATTCCAAAAATTAATTATTTCCCATTGTTAGCGTTCACATATAATTTCTTGAAACTTAAATAGAACAATGTTGTTAATGGCTTTCTACATGCGGCTCCGGAGAATAGGAATAATAGACAAATCCAAGTAATGTTTTTTTAATAAGAACCTCTTATTAATACATAAGGTTGCACGGTTAATGTCGACATTGCACATCTCGTTAAGGAATGAACAGAAACTACTACGATCATAAGTTGTACTAAAAATACTACTAAGCAAAAAAGAAAAACAACAAAAACAAAAAAAAGAAAAGAAATCAATAAAAAAAAAACAACAACAACAACAACAACAACAACAACACTTGCGTTCGAAAATGTGATAGCATTATATATTATGGGCTCAATTTAAACTTTTTTCTGTTTCGAACTACACTTTGATACCATTGACTACATCGTATTGTTAACATTTGCGTATTATACATAGTTTAAACAAAATTTAATGCAAACAAATTTTGCCTTTTAGAGAAATAATTGATTAAATGGTAATTACATGTTGAGTAATAGTTTTTCGCCAAGAAACTTTTTAATTGGTTACGTCAAATCTACTCGATATATGCATTATGGAGGCTTTATTAACGCTTATGAACTAACAAAGAAAGTTATATATATATTGTTTTATACGCCGACCTATTCTTCGCTCGTAAATGTCAACATTTAACAAAAAGTTGTGGGTACTGCGGCTTCGTTAGTTGGCGACGAAATGTAAAAATGAAAATTCTTCTTTCATTTTCACGAAAATGCGTCGCACGTGAATTGGGTGGGAAGACGCTAAAAGAAAGTTTTATTTGTAATAAAAAAAATAAATAAATAAACAAAAAAAGAAGAAGAAGAAAGAAACCACACAAATATAAAACTAAACCTAACATAACATAACATAACATAATAATAATAATTATTATTATTATTATTATTATTATACAAATAATGTCACGAGCGTACATAATACTTACATAATGCCGAAATATTGAGAGCTAATGTAATGTAATAATAAATTGCCTTTTACATAAATCGAGTCCATGCAAACAACTGCAAAAGTTTCTCCAAAAGTAATCGATCGACACGCGAACTTCATGACGCACACCTTGATATGAAAATCCCGATAAATTAATTGAATTGAGTATTGTATGGAAGAAAGAAAGCGGAGAGAGAGAGAGAGAGAGAGAGAGAGAGAGAGAGAGAGAGAGAGAGAAGAATTTGTCAGACCGTAAATCTTATGAAATAAGTCGAAGAATTATTCTTTCAATGATTTTGTACATATTTAAATTTCATTTAGAAATTTCGTAGTTGCTGCATGGAATGAAATAACTCTCACTTTTTACGATATCTAGAAATCTATCAAAATGTAATTCAAAATGTAATTACTATTAATAGTCAATAGCATTATGATTACTTAATTTATGTACATAAAATCAAATTCTTTTAGTTTAATTGATGCATAAAATTTTAGAATAATTATTGCCTAAGAATGTTATAAAGCGGAGAGCGGTATACATTTGGATAACGCGGGACTGAAAAACTTTATGGGAGCAGGGAAAGGAATTTTATCGAGATGAGAGCATGATGGTGGGAAGATATGTATTTTTCACTTTATCCTTAACAGTGTTGGGTGTTTCGTCTCTCACCCTTACTACCGATTACTTTTTACACTCGCAAAATTTTAACAATACATAATACTACGTTTTCAACGATGTGTACCCCTCTCCCCTTTTTTCTTAATCTTTATACATATGTACACGTAGTAAGCTGTGATTGGTTTTGGATGTTACTTTTGAATAACTATGTTCTTAAAAAATGTTATTTAACAAATAATTTACGCAGAGGTCAAATTGTTCAATGTGTAACACTGACAGAACAGAGGCACATACACGGGCGCTATGTCGCCCAATTGTGTATCCTTGTAAATAACGTCGTTGTGTTGCAGATGCTTAAAAGAGTAAAAAAGTCGCTATAAAGCATCGTGCGTATTTTGTTTGCGAATCGGATCTCAGTTTCCCTTTTGTCCTTTATTATCATGAATGTAACCCGTTCTACTTTATCTTTATCTTATTATTTTTTATTGTCTTTATTATTATTATTATTATTATTTTTTTTTTTTTTTTTTTTTTTTTTTTTTTGGTTTTTTTTTTTAACGATGATGCCTCGGGGCGAGTGCTCCAAGAGAGGAGACTCCTCCCTTTTTACCGAAATTATCGCCAACATCAAAGGATCGTAGTCAATACTTTGACGAAGGAATAATGAGGCGTATTAAATTATTTCAATGTATTATTATCAACTTAGAAAAAAGTTATTGATAACTTTTAAATTGTGGCTTTTGTTTTGATTATCGGATTTTGTACCCCAGACACAATCCTCCCTCATCCCAATTTGATCATATAATTGTCACAGACATATATTTTCTAAATATGATTGCCCGCCCGGACGGTGCTGAGAGGCGGGTAAAGCACGCAATTAAACATAATCCATTACATTTAGTGTTTGTAAAAAGTACTTTATTCAAATAATCTCTCATTATTATACAAGCAATAAGTTTTAAGCTTATTTATTTATTTACAATGTACAGATTAAGTGGTGTCGATGCTTGTAGACTGAATATCGATAGTTTCAACCAGTCCGTTGCCAAGAATGTAAAAATCTTCGATCATTGCTGATACGTTTAATATCAATTTACCATTGTCATTCAATTTGTGGCAATGTACATTCGTGACCTTAAAGTCTCTTTCTTGGTTGGTCAGCGGTCTTAATAACACTCCTATAACACTGCCGCCGTAAGTATCGTGGAAGAAGAGAGCAAAGTCGTTGTAAATACTCTGTAAAGAAATGGAATAATAATGAAATATTGAAATATTGAAATAATGAAATAATGAAATAATGAAAAAACGTTCCTCGTAAAACGGTTGATAAAATGAAGTGTAACTGTGTGAGCTTTATCCTTACAACTGGATTGTACTACTGATTAAATAATAAATAATTGTCTATAATTTAAGATATAATACGATCATTTTAATGGAATGCGTTTGATTTCGATCGCGTGATAAGTCATTTCTGTGTGAAATTTTGAGAAACACTCGGCGCACTGCGTGTCTTATTACAAATCCAATTCACTCTGTAATTCCTTATGGCCTTTGTGCTTCTCTATATTGAGAATAATTGAGCGAAGTCCGTGACGAGGAAATTTTAATGCCATAAATAATCCAAAGCTTACCCTCAAATTCCACATAAATATTAATATCTGCCAATCTAAGATGTATTTGTATGTGAATTAATAATGGCTATTTGACGCCAACTTTTAATATTTTAATCGCACGTTATAACGATTTAATCATCAATCGTCAATCTCGCGCCTTTCTCTTTTCCCCGTTTACATTGCACGCCGTCCAATGTGGCTCTACGAGGGCTTAATATGCATTTTATTCGTGGAAAAACAAGAAGAGAAGGAAAAGTAAAGCATAAGACGATCGTTGGAGCAAAGGGTCAAAACATTTCCTCAAAAAATCCGATCACTTGGCCCATTGTTCATTAAATATTCAATAGTTGACACGATTGGCATTTCTTCCATTAAATACGCCCCACCAATTTATCCATTGAATTAATTATCCATTTACCATCAGATTCAATCAGTACTTATCTTTTGTTATTCGTTATCTATTATTGTCTTGTAAAAAGAAAGAAGGCAATTATAATACCGATAGTGAAAATTTCAACAAACAAAAAACGAGGCGACGCCCTTGTTAATCGTTTTTGCAAATAGCCACTTTAATGCATTGCAATTTGCCGACTGTGCGAGCGGATAAAATGCGAAGAATAATGAGCATTTCGTGTCAAAAACAATAATCGGTAATAAGCTAAGGAAGAGGAGGAGACGAAGGAGAAGAAACTCCCGTGGGGAACACTCTTTGTCCTTAAGTGAGAAATGCTCGTTTTAGGTAAGATTTCGCGAGTACGAAACATAGTGGTCGGGCGGGGCGTGTATTAATGGGATTTGTTGATTGCAAAGTGTTGGTGGGCCTCGCAACGAATAGGCTCAACAGGCACTTTCTTTCTTCGATCGGGTGTAACGAAAGCGATAATCACAGCGGCGGATGAAGCGCCTCTCATAACCAAAAGTCATTCGATTAAGTATAAGTATACTTATACTTATACGACGTATACTCTCCCACTCGCCCGCGCGTATGGAAATTCTTAAGGCTTTATCAGCCTATCGTTTAAGCAGACACCGAGCAACGTCTCGGAACTTCCCCCTCGCCCTTTGCTCGGCCAGTGAAAGTATCACTGTGCGGGCTCAAAGGCTGGCAAAACTGTACTCGCGCTCGGCCGCTCTCAAATACACCTCCAATCACTGCAAGCTTACATTGAGAGAATGACGGGGAGCGAAAATGCGCGAAAAAGAGGCAAAATGCCAGGAGAACAATATGGCGGACGTTATTTGTCCCGAGAATTATTGCTAATCCCAGGCATAACACCCGACAAAAGACGGCAAAAACTGTATAGCTGCGCTGGTCGCTAGGAGAGTGTCGAAGACGAAGAGGGAGAAAAAACAACGACAAAACAAAAAAAAAAGAGAAAGAGAGAAAAGTCGTCGGAACCTCGTGAGAGCAAGCAGCCGCCAAGACTTACCCTCAATTCTCGGAGATACTCGGCGACCGGAACAAAGTCGACGACGGGCATCTTCGTCACGTAGTTGTTCTTAACCGGCAGCAGCTCGACAGTAGGCAAACTGTCGTCCACGTCTACGGCTTGGAATCGCCGGGGGTTTAACGAGTCCTTGAGCCGAATGAGACAGTCGTACTCGGCGAGCGAGGGCACGAAGAGTGAACCACATAGGAGACTCGTCGCTTTCGAGAGCTGTATCTCGACGATCCGGAGTACCTCCTTCGAGAGGTCGCTTATGCGGTTGAGGATGAGCGTGTTCGGGGCCTTCCGTGTCCACGCACTCGAGCGTCTGTCATAGGGGGTGACGATGAAAAGTGGCGGTAGCGTACCCATCGACGTCCCGAAGTAGTTCTCCACGTCCACGGTCTCCTCGCCTGCAAAGTGTTAACTTGGTCATCGGCTGTTCGTCCTTGCTTTATAACAGTCGTGATGCTTTACATCGACGAGCCGCGCGTAATAATGACGTAATAACCCCGTCTGGGTGTAAGTGGGGGGGGGGGGGGGTCGGGGAGGGGCGGGTCCCCCCCCCCCCGGGGGACATAAACGCCCCACCCCCCGGAGGACATAAACGTATTTAGCGGAAGCGAAGTCAGTGGCCATTGTTGCGCTTATGCAAGTGGAATGGAACGCGAAAGAGTTGCTCGGCTCGTTTAATTAAACCAACGACCAAAGCCGGTGGCCTGGAAAATGCATTTGGATGGGAAGACAGAGAGTTTGGGGGGGGGGGAGCGAGTCCTCGCTCAAGTGGAGAGAAGGATAATGACGTAGGATGGCAATGGCTGTGGCACAATGGCTATTCGACTTTGAAATTTCAATATCGTCGTGAGCGATGGGTTTTTTAAAGGTCTGTTGCGACGTCGTCCCATTAGATTTTGATAGATAAAACGGATGGAGAAGTTTTAATCGGCCGTTAGGATGACGCGATAACAAGATTATTGTATAAAATAGAATTATTAACGGGCGCATTAATGGTGAAAGGCTATTAGTGGATGAATAAATTTTTTGGGAATGCGATGAATGCCAATACTGTGTGCGTAATATACACGATGAGAAAATTGAATGTTTGTAAAGGATGAAATAAGGGAGAGAGTTGGGAGATGGACGAAGCGTCATTTTGTTTTTATTTATGTTTTTTTTTCGCGTTATAATTTGAGCTATTCATTATGAAGGAAATGTTAATGTTGTTATTGATGAATGAAGTTATGCGTACGAATGCGAGATGTTCCATGTTTCCAAGTTCTATTGAATATAAATGAGAAATCAGCGTTTGCACGATTGGCGAGATGAATGACGGGACGTACCGTGCAATCATATAAGGATGTTAATAATCATAATAAATTGTTTAACTCTTGCTATTTGTGTCCGTTCGTTTATTTACTTCCCAATGACAAAACTAAAGACTACCCTGATTTTAATTATTGACACTATATGTTTTAGGGGATTAAAGATGACAAAGAACACGCTGATTACGGTCAATTACGATTTTAAGAACAAAAAAATAGGGGAGTAAATTTTGTTGTCCCCCCCCCCCATCCCAGCAAAATAAACCGGTCGATTAAATTAAAATTCCACGACTTTTATCGTGGAGAGTATGAAAGAGTTAAAAATACCAGATATTTAAAAAAACTGTTCGAAAGTTATGTTCCGAACTAATTTGCCAACTAATTTCGATAAATCGGTGATCTATTCCGGGCGAGGGAAATTCGATTATGTAATAATTTTCAAACATTATCCAATTGCCCCAATTATTTATAAACGTCAATAGCCAGTTTGTAAATGCGAAGGACAAGTGCAACGCATAAATTTACGGATGGCGCAAATTTTGCATGATAAAAAACTATAAAACCCTTCCCGACGTAAGTTGTAAAAGCAATGTATTTGCACAGACTTTCTTTTCCTGTTTTATAATTTTAGGTAATTTTAGGCTCAAATAAGGTATACCTTGTAATGGGAGCATTACACGCTATTTGCTCGGTAACTGTTTTACCAGGTCATAAGAGCTTGGAAATTATTTGAGAAAATTTTATCGAAATTTATAAATTTTCCAACTTTTCTTAAATCATCGTATAAAATAACGTAAATTATATTTATAGTGAAAATAGTAATTCGAAATTTCAAGAGAGTCCAATTAAAGGTCAATGAAATATAAAAATTTATACTCAAATACACATTTACGCGATTCTTTGAACTATTCCATCAGTTTTCGTTATCTCATTATTATATAAAGGTCCTTAATCATTAATGTCCGTCCTTATATAATTTTAATAAAATTTAATAAAAGTAATTGAAATTCACATGCATATCTTGTCTACTTGATTAATTGCAAATAGGATTATCGACAGAGGTATTAATAAGTTTTTGAATTTTGTTTTGAAATGTTTATATAATTTTACGATAAGATACGATAAAAGCGTCCTTTATCACAGTTTAAAAATTTTTTTACCTTCGCGTTTAAAACGTTCGATCGGACGACAATCAATATCGAAATCAAAAATAACCTGATTATTATTTAATATGGTTTAAAAAATAGGTGCGTATTACAGCCTTGAAATATATTGTCGATTAAGCGACAATTTACATTGTTCCAGGAATATCAATAAAAATTGCCTTTTTATCATCGCTACGTATAAAATGCAATAAATGACAAATTCAAATTGTCTTATAATTTTTCAATTAATCAAACTTCGAAATGCTGATCGTTTATACGTGGAGCATGTTTATAAACATTGTAATTAAGGATATAATTAATTGAGTAGACGATGTTGGTAAAAAATTTGTATTCGTCATAAATAAGGAAAGATCATGTAAGAAATTACGTCGGAATATAATTATTACTCGCGAGGTGTAGAATTATAGAAGGCGAACGTGAAAAAAAAGTTTATTCGAAAATTCCTTAAAAAAAAAAAAAGAAAGAAAGAAAGAAAGATAGAAAGAAGAAAAAAACAGGACAAGAAAAAGAAGAAAAAAGAGACGAGGATAAGAATTCGTGAACGACAGAATCGAGAATCGACATAAGAATGTGACAGATTTTCTAATAGGCAGGTTTCAAGAAATCTTTAATTGAAATTTAAATCTGTTTATATCTGTATGGCTGTATATACACAATTTATATTAACATTATTATTATACATATGCCAAGGATTTTGAAGGATCGAGTACGATTCATTGAATTTGGAAATAGACATCTCGATAAGATCATTAATTACTAGGCACATGCATATATTGATTAAATATAAAAATTACCGTCTAGGGCTTTCTCGGATGGTTGAAGAGTAATTTCATAGATTATGATAATAGTACACATACATTTGGCTCTAAAAATTTTACGAATAAATATAAAATATATAGAAAAGTCCCCAGTGCAACACACGCTATTTATAATTTATTGACAATCGTCGTCGTGTAAAGAGATTAATTTATTATCTCTTTCATGAAATTCATTGGCTAATATTAAAATTAAAGCTATTTTAATTGCCAATACGATATATGATTCGCGAAGAATGTAAAGTTGAACTATTCGTCAAAGTTTTTCTAGTTTGCAGAAATATCTCACTCTGCATTGTTTCCTACGGTAACCAACAATTTTTTTTACCGCTCCCTTAACTTCTCCCCAATCCCCAACCCCCAACCACCAACCCCTGCCCTGCTGCCCTGCCGCCCGGGCTTTCATTTTTTCTTCAAAGACACTGTAAGCGCTTCAATGAAATTAAGCCCGTTTGCATTATATTGTTCCCGCTCACTTACGCGGAGTAGTATTTTAATTAATCTCGAAAGCAATTAGTCGAAAGATTTTCAAGAGCTTTAACAAGTCGCGCAAACTCACGGATGGATGGTGAAAAATATTTATTCGCATCATGAGAATGTAACTTGGTCTTCTTCAACACTTATACATTATGGTATACAACTAAACAATATGCGCCATTAAGTAAGAAGTAAAGTAACTGGGTCAATTGATTATTTTGACTAATTACTAGCAGTGTCCAATAACTTGTCACAAATACAAGTACATTGAATTGTAATTTAATTGAAAATTAATGCGGATATTACGATATTTAATTAAAATAGAAAAGCATGACAGACGGAATGTCAAATATTAGAAACAAAAAATATATTGTCAACTATTTGGATAATATTCTGTCGAGAATCGAATGTGCATTCCCATAATTAGGGGAGATTTATATTTGACGAAAGATAATAAATATTTGCAAATTCTGCCACGTTGAATACGTACGCGCGACACTCGATGTTGATATTCGCTCGAGAACGGGGCGAAACTGGACTGAATCATAAGCACATAAATTACAATATTATCCTTAAGGACATCGTAAGTTTATTAACGCATGCTCGTACGACTCACCCCTCACTATCCACTAAGCCGCTCGAAGCTGTGCTCGTTTGTAATTTTGACGGATATCCGTCGTCTCTGTGTCCCTAGCCCCTACACCACACACGCGCACACACGCGGTAATAAAAGCCCATTGGGCAGCACGAAAATTTGTCTCCACCCTCGACAAATAGGAGTGATTACTAATAGTACAAGGAGACAGACACGTACGTACGCGCGTTTGCTTCAATAAATAAATCCAAATCCCTGGACCGCCCACGGGGAAACTAAGAATTACATTCGTTGAAGAGCATTAACCGCCCAATGATTAATCAATTCTCGAATGATAAATCGTCGTAGCCTCCAACTTATTTCTTTCTTTTCTTTTTTTCTTCTTTTGTCGTTTTATCACCCATGCATAATGTTTCTAGCCAACGTGACCTTTGATTAATCAGAGATTTATATCAAATTAACATCAACTATAACTGACGAATTTGCCGAAGCTTTCACGAACGAGCTTAGCTATCGTATCGGGAATGCACGTCGGCTCTATCGCCAAAAATCCTTTAACTATCCTTCATGTAAACCAACCGAACCGACCAAGTAAATAATCGTACGGAGGCACAAGTTCCGGCCACTTTGTGATATAATGTACAGCATATGATTTACGAGTGGCTGATTTGCGAAACTCCCGAGCTAACGCATTCGAGCTTGGAGCTTCGAACGCGTCGACCAAGTTCCGAAAAAATAGCACGAGCCTCCTCCCCACTCTCCACAGTCTCCAATGTTGAGCGCACCGACATCCTCGGCTTACGTCTAAAAGCCGTCCAAACGAGTCCAAACGAGGCACGATAAAACGACGACAGACTCACGTGTCATCTCGTTGTTGAAATTGACGAGGACGGGATCGGTGCTCCAGTGCTCCCGGGCGAAGGACTCGAGGAAGCGCAAGAATGCCACCTGCGGCTGCTGCACGGACTCGTAGGGTAGCGGCTCCAGGTAGATGGCGGCCATGAGCAGTTCGACCACGATGCCCGGCATGTGGGACTCGTCGATCAGCTGGGACGAGAGCCATCGCTTGACCAAACAACAGGCTGGACCGAACGACGGCTGCTGTCGGTGCAATCTGTCGGGATGGACGCGAGGAATTAGCTCACGGATTTCGACGTCGCGACATAGCGATGAAAGTCGCAGTAACGGCACAATCGTAATTTCTCCATGGCCTTGGGCTATCTATCTATTTATTTATTTGTTTACGTGCTTTGAGTGTGGATATTAACAAGTGCCGTACGAATCATCGCTCATTGCTATCTAATGGACATTCAAAGCGACGGTTCTCTTTTCTAAATCGGTCGTGCTATTGCGTTCATTGCATGAAATAAGTTATTCGCGAATTTATCCATTACGACGATACAAGGATAAGTGTCTCCGTTAAAGAAAGAAAATCGAAAATTATATATAATATATATAAAAAATAATATGTTATTGGCTCGTTCCTTACCCGGACAATGCGCCGGTGATTTTTGGCAAATGGAAGAGCTTCGCTTCCAATTCCATCGATTCTTCGGTATCCCGATACTTCTTAACGCCATCCTCGTCCGTTAACTGCTTGAGCAGGCCAATCTCCTTCTGACTTGCTATTCGAAGCCGAAATGGTAAGCCATCCTAGTTAAAGACAATTATATTAGCTTAGCTAATATTTATGGCTAGAATTTTGTGTGTGTGTGTGTGTGTGTGTGTGTGTGTGTGCGCGCGCGCACACGCGCGCGCAAACATCTACTTTGAGAATTCAATTATTGGCGGAGGATGAATTCATGGGGCCAAGGACCTCTTAAGGAGCTCTTGTGCTTCGAGCATCCATGAATTGCTGGGCAGCGGGTGAAAGCACGGTCGAAAGTACCAATGCTAAATCCCCGAGGATGCTTGTAGTAAACGCGGCTAACCTTTAGGACGTCGATGTGATTGAGGGAGCCGTGGGCGCTGAGCTTGCTCTCTTTCCTCAAGTTCTCGGCGATTTGGAGGTAAAAGGCGGCTTTGGTCATCCGTAGAGCCTCGAGCTCGTCGGGCCATTTGCCACTGATGCACATCTGCAGGACCGCCTCGATCGGCTCGTGGTAGAGGGGTAGGTCCTTGGGTTCCTCGGCGAGACGCAGATGGGTCTTGCCGGCGATGACGTTGACACCGTCCGCTCGGCAGAACCTCGCCAGGGGCGGGAAGACGGCGGTGTAACGGCAGACGGGACTACAGCCCTGGACGCCGCTTATTTCCAAGGGCAGATCGGTCAGATTTGAGAGCTGCTTCTTCAGGGAGTCAAAGAGCACGATAGCCTGGAGCGAAGCCTCCTCGTTGCTGTACTGGAATGCCGGGACTTGCACCTGCAATCGAAGTTACCGAGCCAAATCAGGTTTTGTAATTATTACGCGTTTTTCGCGCAAACTAATGGAGAATAATGAATAAGTACGAAATAATGAATGTGCTCGGCGCGTCTTGATACGCATTACGGCGAACTAAGCAAAATATCGAGCTGCCGCGTGTGTAAGTTTGGTATAACTTTTGTGCACAACTACGTTTACAAATGTGGCTTTTCTCGTTGAATATTACGATGATCGGATGATCGGATGATGGGGAATTTTATTGTCTTGGATAGCTTTACGATGCATAAATTTGATCAAAACCCAAGCATTCTGTCGTTAATGTGTTCGCGCGTAAGTGCGCGCGTGTATGTAATGTAAGAACGTGTGGTGAATTTTAAGGAAATTTAATCGTCTACTTAGTATCTAACGATGTGGAATTTATTTCTCTTTTTACGAGCTTTAAGGTAAATATCATTGTAATTAATTGTCGTTTATTATCGATGGCCGCTGCCGCACTGGCATTTAATACGATTAAATCCAATTCCTTGGGTCGAAAGATTAAAATAAATTACCTTCTTCAGGCTCAGGAATTCCTCTATTTGATTAGATAAAAAGAAGAAGTGAACCTGCTCGAATAAGTAAAGCTTCTGTTCGAGTAAATATTTTATAATTTGTTGAGGTACTTGACGTTTCTCGGAAGAAGTTGCATTCTCGTTTGCCCATATAACAGCCTCGCAAACTGTGCCGTCCTTGAATCTTCGAAGCTCCGATTTATCTCCCCAAAACTTCCTGAACGCGTGTGCCTGCCATTGAAAATAGAAATAGAAATAGAATGGTTGTAATTGATGTAATGGGAAACTCGAAAGGAGAAAATTCTGCGTATACGCACTTCTGGTAGATTAGCACCTGGACCCTTTTCAATAATGCTGAAACAATAGTTTGGATTCAATTGAAAGCCAACGTGCAGTCTGTCGACGTCGTCTGGAATTTCTTGATTCAATTCCCACTCTTTTAGTTTTCTCGGGAAAATATTGATCAACGATATTCTATTTCCCAGACCTTCCTTTAAAAATTTTGAGATAAATTTCACTATTTGAATATACTTGTTGGAGCCAAAATTCAGTTCGCTGGTATTGTCGCTGTTTGCTTTAACAATATTTTTCAAAGCTTTCGCATTGTAGAAGCTGCGAATTGGACAAAAAGAATTTTTAATCGCTCAGCTCTTAAAATGTTATATCGTTATTAAATAAGACAACATTCTTACCAAACAATTTGATCAAATATATTGTAAAAGTTTACTTTTCGCATGAAAAGTATTTGAAAGCCATTGATGCGGGTGTTGTTCAAGCACTGAAGTGATAATTCGGCTTGATTTGCAATCCACTTGAATGTATCCCCGACTACATTCGATGCTAAATTGTGATATCCAGTCGAATCGAGGAAAACACAATCATAGTATTTATGATAATCGACAATTCGCTCTTTGATTTCTTCGTCTCGACACAAGCTTATGCCCGACTGGCACCAATTGACTTGAGCTTTTTTAAAAGCATAAAATTTATTCTATAATAATTTTATCAATCTCACACTTGTATAATAAACAATTGTAAAGTATAAAAAAATCTTTTAAGTAGCCAAACAATAAATGATATAGCTATACTTGGTTTCGAATTGTTGTTCGTTTAATTATTTCTTTATGTAAAACTTATAATTTATCTTTTTATGAAGATGTATATATCTCTCTCTCTCTCTCTCTCTGTGCGTGTGTGTGCGTGTGTGTGCGTGCGCGTGTGTGTGTACATAAGTAAGTATTTAATATATAACAAATATAATTACCCAAATACTGCCATGTATTTCTGACAATTTGATAACTACTCATAAATGTATTTAATTTTTTTGTATACAACAAATATAAAACGTACATTGTAATAACATGACCATTAAATGTTTCAAAATTATTACTGAAATCTCGTTGTTTTAACCATATTTTTAACAGTATAATACCATCTCTTATATTTGGATATTCTTTGATCACTTTGATATTGTGAACATTTGCCTGCAATGTCGTTAGATCGTACATAATTGTGCTATTATAATGCGGAGTTGGCGAAGTAGTAACTGAAACTGAAAATTCGATATTCCAATTATTCATAATAAATTTAAATGGTTCATAATAAGATGTCGACGTGTATCATAAAAGAATATTTACCATCGTTATCGTTACTTTTGAAAAACCAGTTACTCTTTACGTTATTCTTTTGGGGTATTAATTTGGTCAATGGGAAAGTTGTGTCTTGTACAACTAGATGAGCATAAACGACGCAGCGTTTGCTTAATTTTCCACTTGGAATGATTTTTAATATAGGATTCGAATGATTTCCCATAAAACACATGCTTTGCACTAACTCCTTGTCCAGTTTGTGGCCTATGAAAGCCAGATACATAGCTTTCTTTCTCATGTACACATAATTCTTCGAATCGCTTCTCCTAAATAGACTTCGAGGCATCTCTATCAATACGTCTATCGTAGCGTCAGGACCAATAACAGTATCTATCGCGTACGAACCACCTACCATAATTTTCGAAGGTGTTAAGAATTTGAAAGTGCCAGCGCAGTCGTTGGGCAACTTTTTCATGGGTATTCTTACATCGCAATCTTCGAACAACGTATCGTTATTTAGCTGAAAGCATAAGTATTCGTTAAAACTAGCCATTCGACTATTAATATCAATCTACACGGCTTACCTCAATTTCCACATTATCCTCCATTGAATTTAAATGGTTTTCGAATTTTTCGAACCACAGCTTAAATAGCCTATTATATTTATCCGATACTTTAACAGCTGAAAGAACCTCCTCGATCTGTAATCTGAACAAATTCGAATGAAACAGATTCTCAGTTTCTCTGAGTTGATTGAGCTCCTCCACCGTTGGTCGCTTATACAAGTCATTCTTCTCTTTACTCCTCTTTTTCTTCGGCTTCTTCAAATCATCCGTTCCCTTCCTCTTTCTCCCATTTATCCCAGGCACACGATCATTCTCCAGCTCGTTCTCGGAGCTTACAATTCCTTCCGATTCCATTATCTCGCTTTGCTTCCGATCCCTCTCAACCACACCCACGCAATCCACTATCATAAACAATATTTTCCCAACATACCCAATTCGACGCCTTAAATAACAACGTACGATGTGTGCTAGATTTAAAAGGTTATGAGCACAAATAATTAACAGCCACCTAATTCAACGTAGCAGTCACCTGTACGCGCTAATTGTCCAATAATCACGCACTACGATGTATTCTCTCGATCCAACTCAAATTATATTAAAATTCATTTAAAGTCCCACACATGAAATTGCAATATTATACGATCGTCGCTCTCGGCAGCCTGTCGAACGTGTACCAACGAACCGCTTAACCCACGCACGTGGCCCAAACTCAAAACCTAAACCTTTCTCGTACATTGACGGATGTATCATGACGGGAGCACTCCCGGTCATAATACGGTCAGTATATCATCTACCTTATCCTCGTACTCCTTCCATTCCGTTCCTCCTCCTCCTCCGCCGCCACCGCCACCGCCACCGCCACCGCCACCACCACGTTTTAACGATCATTCTACAACTTTGCAGTAGTCAGCCTAAGAAAACCACTATACTAAAAAAACCGTATCGTGAGTTAAAAAAAAAAAAAGTACCTTTCGGACTCGGTGTGGTATAACAATAAATCCAGATAATACATTCGCGTCGATAAAATTGGCTTCCGCAGGCTCACGATCCTAGTTGGGATCAACTCACCACCGTTGGACAATCAATAATATTCATAATAATAATAATAATAATAATAATAATAATAATAATAATAATAATAATAATAATAATAATAATAAGGTGATTTTGGCCAAAACATAAATAAACTTTGGCAGCGCGGAGAAAGATAGCCTCGTTTGAACAATAGAGGATATCGCGGCTCGTCGAGGCGACACTGTGTTACGCGCAGGCTGCCAACTTGTTGCGCGACAAGCGGAGTTTCGAGATTATTTTGTATGTTTGGTGTGGTGAGGTTGGCAGTTGTAAGATTGGTGAGCAAAGAGGTTACGTAGCATCGCAAACGCATGTTACGGCTGCGAAGGAGTTAATAAAACGATTTGATAAAGCAAAGAAAAGAGGGGAAAGACGCTTAGCGTGAATGATAGTTTCGACTTAGGCGATAATAAGGCCGAGCCGTATTTAAAAAGCAAGCAAAATGCTAAGTAAAACGAGACTGTTTCGCAATGTTGCGACATTAAGGGTAAGTTGTTGAATGCCGGTTGCCGGTCGTTAATTCAATTTGTCTAAATTAGCGTTCGATGAATATAAATTGCAGAATTGTTTGGGTGCGAATGCGGAGTTTGGATATACGGGGACGTTGATACCGCCGATTCAGATTCGAGAAAAATCGCTGGCAACCCCACTCAACACTGTTGTAATGTTCGTTCCACATCAAGAGGTAGTTGGATAGTCAAAGTCAAATGATAATGAAAAATAATTTATTGAACGTAATTCGATACGTGTATACATACATGTGCATATATATATATATATATATATATATATATATATATATTATTATTATTATTATTATTATTATTATTGCATTGTACGATTGTTGATTATTAGGCATGGGTCGTTGAGAGAATGGGAAAGTTCCATAGAATATTGGAGCCTGGTCTTAACATTCTTATTCCAATAATTGACAAAGTTCAGTATGTTCAAAGTCTTAAAGAAATAGCGATAGACGTTCCAAAACAGAGCGCCGTTACATCAGGTAAAGATTGCAAAATTATATTCTTACGAAATCTTGTTCTTACGCAAAAGTCCAGCGATGGCTTGGAAGATAACGAGCGACAAAGATGTTGTATCATTATTTTGCGAATGCTTTTGGCTTTATTCGCAAATTATTATTTCTATTAAGTTGTTGCGCTGGTAACGATTGTTGACGTTTGCCCGATAAAAGTCTATTGGTCTCTTTCAGATAATGTGACATTAAATATCGATGGAGTATTGTACTTGAGAGTGAATAATGCCTATTTAGCGTCTTACGGAGTCCAAGATCCTGAATTTGCCATTATACAGTTGGCGCAAACTACTATGAGATCCGAGTTGGGAAAAATATCTTTGGACAAGGTTTTTCAGGAAAGAGAAGGTCTTAACGTCAGTATTGTAGAAAGTATAAATAAAGCGAGTGAAGCGTGGGGAATAAGTTGCCTTCGTTATGAAATTCGTTAGTTATTTTACCTCTGACTTATATAATTGTCTTATCTATTGTATTGTATTTATTTTTGCCATAAAAAATCTATTTTTCCAGGTGACATAAAATTACCAGAAAGAGTGCAAGAAGCCATGCAAATGCAAGTCGAAGCTGAAAGAAAGAAAAGAGCTGCCATTCTGGAGTCTGAAGGTATTAGGGCTGCCGATATTAATATCGCCGAAGGTAAAAGACAGGCAAAAATTCTTAGCTCGGGTAAGTAATCGAAATACTTTGTTTCCTATTTTGACACATTTGACTGCATTTCGCCTTGGCAGTTTAATTAACATGACAGGCGTGAATTTCCAGAGGCTGAAAAGCAAGAATTCATAAACAAAGCTAATGGAGAGGCTGAGGCTATCCTAGCTGTGGCAACGGCACGTTCAAGAGGTTTGTCGGTAATTGCGAACGCTTTGAATGTTTCACGTGGACATAATGCGGCTGCGCTTATCGTTGCTGAACAATATATTCAAGCATTCGACAAATTAGCAAAAACAAATAATACCTTAATCGTTCCTAAGAACGTCAGCGACGTGGGCAGTTTCGTTGCTCAGGTAACGATTATTTACTAAACTCATTCTATTCTCTTAAGCAAGTATTTATTAACTAAGCGATTGTCTATTGTAGGCAATGTCCATTTATAAACATGTGATGCCTGGAAACGAACCAATTCAGACTTCTGAAAACGTTACCAAATATCAACAACCCGAAAGATATGATGTAGAAACTACAGATGATTCGTCCTACGAGTACTTTAGCGATAAAGAAGAAGCAGAAAACTACAGAAGAAAGAATCACAACAAAAACTCGACAAAAAGAGTCTAAGAGTCTAAGATGACATTATAGTTTATGCAAAATTGTCTTTGTAAATAAATATTTTTTCTTTTCATTTTTTCTAATAATAAAACACAACATGCATTTACAAATTGACTATCGACATCTTGCTGCTTAAATAAAATAAAATAAGATAATATGTGTATACTTTTTAATTAAATCACTCGATTATTGTTACAAGTTTTATTGTCAAATAGATAACAATGAAAAAAATGATAGGAGATAATTAATAAAATTAATAATTATTTTTTCTTTTTCATATGAATATTGACTGTTGGCACTGACATTGAGTATGTTTCTTGAGATATTCTGTTTATATAATATAAAGCCACTATAGAGAATATAAAACAAGTTGTGGTTGCGACTCGATGTATCAAACCAGACGCCACCAACGACACAATTAACGATATGAAAACTGTAAAATAAAAATATAATTTTATTACATTCTGCGCAATGAGTAACAAAGCACACATACATCCGCATCCCATACCTTCAGGAAGTTTTAACTGGAATGACTTTCCAAACAATACAGCCTCTAAATTGCCAAAAGCCGTCAAAAGAAATAGAAATATTAACGATCCCATGTACCCTCCTAAAATTATATGCAATTTAGAAGAAATCAGCCAGGTTTTGTACATTTGCATTCCAGAAAATAGCAGCACCGTTAAAATAGACGATAGGATAAGGGAAACCTTGCTGGTCACAGCTGGAACCCAAATTTTTTAATTATTCACCAATCAATGACGATCACATCGTTTATTAAATTCAAGAACTTGGTTTATTAATGACAATCGCGCTTCGATTTATAGGTTACAAAATACAGTAAAATTGTTTACATTACTAACCCATCTTTTACGCTATACGATTTATCCTCGTAATTCTCAATGGTAAAGCTTATATTTTAATTAGCCGATAGCACCTTCATCAAACTCGTACAATTAAATAAAATCATAAAAACTTTACTATTTCTCCTTTCTTAACTTCGACATTATTTGTACTAAATTTCACATGCAGGAATATGTTGACTGACGGCCGACGTGTCACTACACCAATACATCTGCACGCACCGAAGAGTTCAGCGACGTGAATCGTTGACCGTCGCCATAAATTTATGGGTAAAGCACATAAATATGCATGTGTTTGCCAAATTTGTACAGCTCGATTGTTGCAGGCTAATGCATAAAACCGTATCGGTCCTTCCCAAACTCATTATTATCTTTACGTCGGTTGAGAACATTAATGTGACAACTTAACGTGATTGCTGACTCTATAGGCTAGCGAAAATGACTCTATTATCTATAAATCAATGCCGCACAAGTGTATTTATTATTGATTATTACTGTAAATATTGTCGATTGTTTTTATTTCCTCTCGTTTAGTTTATTAACATCGTCAATATTATTATTTACTTGGGCCATTTAAATTTTAGAACAGGCACTTGTACGAGCTAGTTCCCGCTTATTATATACTTAACTCCCCCGATCGTTCATTCTTATTACGTTAAATGTAATTTCATAAGATTGTCCATGAATATTATGAATGAAAGTACATATTTGATAATCATTTTCTATTCTAATTTTTCACATTATAATATCCATACGATCGTATTAACTGTAAAGGTTTTCTTCTTTTCCATTTTTCAGCTTAATACTCACTATAAATGTACTTTATAAGCCTTGTGGCTTTACAATGTTTATTTTAAATTTCTCGAATTTAGTAAGTTTTTACATAATATTACATTAAATAATAATACAATAAGGAAACGAATTTCCTTTTATTGGGCAAATTAATTTAAAAAAAAAAAAATTATTTTATTAAGAATAATATTAATAATCGTGCAATTTTGTAATCTGCACAACTTAAAACGTATTTCCTAATCCTTAATTACCCATTACACTGCGCATTCTGTTGCATTTTCCCACACAATAAATTTTTTTTAATCAACATTTAAAAATTGATTTTTCACCGTCAACAAATAAACTATTATTGGATCGTGCTTGCATCACACTAGGTTAATCCTGCATGTATGTATAAAAAAAATACATGTAATCAAGAGAAGAAAAAAGCAGAAAAGAAAAGAAAACACCCTCGACAAACATAGACTTTTTTTTAATCAATGACTTGATTAAGCAAAAGCAAATCACGTTTGATGTTGAAAAATATCAGCTAAACACTCAATATAAGGGCTACGTGGACAAAGATTCTATAATGAATTAATGAACTGCCGCTTTCCCAAATAAATCATAAAATATCTTAAATCAAATGAAGATCAAATCTTTATGAAGATACCAGTAAATATAAATGGAGCTTCACGTTACTAAAATAATTAGTTGTTAGAGAAACGTGCCATTACAATTGTTGATTTTCTTCTTCGCCAATATATATCTTTATATTTGTATTGCATGGAAATTTGATGATGTACAAATTGTCGATACAATTTGAGTATTTTCATGGCAGCTATAGCACGTCTATGAAAAAAAAAAAAAATACAATTTTGTTCAGAAAATATAAACTTTTGCAATTTTTGATGAATGTTTATTTCATGTATTATTATATTTACAATATTTTTTTAATTCGGAGTATTATATATATGTATGTGTGTGTGTGTGTGTGTGTGTGTGTGTGTGGGCGCGCGTGCGCGCGTGTGTGTGTGTATATATACATATATAAATTAGCACTGATGAGGTCACTTTTTTTGATTGCTTGATCGTCTTCTAAAGTTTCGCTGTTGTTATACAGTTTGAAAATTTTAATTTGTAAATTTATATGCGTCTGTCGCTGTGTGTGTATATATATATATATATATAATGTATAATAATAATAAAAATTATTATTATTAAGAGTGAATGGGAATAAACGGAGGACTATTTGAAACAAGTTATAAATATGTTGGTAGTGCAGTTTTTGTATTTTTTATTTTTTATCATAGACACAGAGATATAAGTTTTTCGGTTGAAAAAAAAATATTATAAAAGTTTTATTAAAAAATTTCTCCTTCTTCTCAAACGTTCATTATTTCTTTTAAAATAATAATGATAAAAATTCAGTATGACAATATATATATATATATATATATATATATATATATATATAGCGATATGAAAGGTTACTTGGCAAGTAAAGTTTATTATAAGAATACATTTATAAGAAATATAATGAATAATGACTATACAATATTCATAATGTGTGGTCACGTATTCAGAAAATTGGATAGATTTGGTCCGCGTCCATTTATAATAAAGTGTCAGAATATCATAAATTTGGCATTGTTATGTATCTTGTTCGTTCGAATATAATTTTAACATTACCTTTTCCTCGCCATGTGTATTTTTATCTAAATGTGTGAGTCTCGTGCATATTTGCTTAATGCACGTATGAATATTATTTGTTAATGCATATGCGCCCGTATGCATACACGTATGCCGCGTACTTTCTTTACGCATGATGTGTGGGTGTGCGCGTGTGTGGGTACGCTGACCGTGTACATATGTCGTGCGAGCGAGTGCGCGCATGCGAATATGCTCCCATAAAATTAAGAAATATATGGTGTTTTTTAACTTTAACTAGGTGTACAGTAACGGTAGTAATAGTTAATATTGACTTGGATTCTTTTGTCGCCGTCAATGAATTTTATTTTAAATAAGTTTCATCATCATATTTAATATGCCACTATAATGCGTTTCATTGCGAGCTGTGCGAATAATTTTTGGCAAGGCTCAAATTTCATATATGTATAAACTATTTATGCATTTATATATTAATATAATCATTTATTTATATATTTATTTATTATTCATTCGTCGATTGATTTAGATGTATATTATAATTGGCGCTCGGAGAGTTAATAAGCGCATGAAAATATTAAGTAATTGCACTAATGTGTAAAGCGCGCCTAGCGCACTCTTCTTGTACATTGTATTTTTTTTTTATTTTTTCTTTATTTCATGTAATCGCTAAAATAGTACCCGTCATTTAACTTCGTCTATGTATGCATATTCATATACATATATATGTTTTTTTTATTATTATTTATTTTTTTATGTTTGGGAGTGGTTTATGATTCGTTTTTATGTGGAATCAACAATGAATGCCCAATGTGCATAAAAATAAGATGAAGAGGGAAACGCATCAGTTGGGATCATTTATTTTATATAATCATTTTATATTTTATTTCAATTTATGCTCTGCTAATAAATTAGAATTTGATTTTAATACGAATATATAGTTATATATAGATTTATATAATCGAGATATAATATACAATATAATAAGGAGTCCGAGACATAATATGCAATAAACCTCCAATATTCTTGTCTCGGCTATATACGCACTATTCTCTGTCACTCTCATTAACTCAGACGAATACATCTTCTATCATCATTTACTATATATAATAAAATAATGGAAAAAAAAATAGTTAATACCTTTCATATTTCGCGCGCGCGCGTGTGTGTGCGTGTGTGTGGGTGTGTGGGTGTGTGGGTGTGTGGGTGCGTGTGTGTGTGGGTGGGTGTGGGTGCGTGGGTGGGTGTGTGCGCGCGCGCGCACACGATACAGTGTTTGTGCATATCGAGTCCATACACGTGCAAATTTGCGCGTCTGTTTTACCTCGTATGATGTTCGTGCGTGTGCCGCGTTCGTGTTCGCGTATGCGCATGTTATGTGTGTTTGCCTAATAGTATGTCCCAGGTGCTCGGGCATGTGTTTCTGTGTGATCGCGTACGTATGCTATTTACGAAATGGAAATGACAATAAGAAAAATGTTAGGCTGAACGACGTTTTTGCGATTGAGAAGAGTAATAATATTTTTTGTACCAATGCCGAGACCCTATGGATTCGTAGGCCATGTCTATATCGATCGGTTTGACAGAAAAGTAAAATAAAATAAAAGAAGAGAGAGAGAGAGAGAGAGAGATAAAATGGCGCGTGCAATAGAATATAATCTCGATTTGTCCGCCAGCGGCAGCAGTGCGGCTTTTCTTACATTACACTTCTCTACCAACTCTTCTGTCCCCTTTATTTTTGCTCCCGCATTCTTTTTCGCATTTGATCCTTTGTACACAATAGAGTCGAGAGACGATGTGCACGAAATACTTCGGTTTTTCTTTCTCTCGGACTTTTTTTCGACACGATATGCCACGACACACGCGATTTATTGCACGCGGTCTTGAACATTTGACCGACACGCGCTTTCTTTATTTGCTCATTTTTACTTTAATACTTTATCACAAAATACTATAACTTTCTTCTTAAGTTTAATCCTATTGGGCTAGAAGTTGCTGCAAGTATACTGAATAATGTATCTAGAATTTACTTTCCTACGCACTGTATAGTTGCAAGACTAATAATTATTTATGTGTGCCTTATTTACTTGATTCCCCTTAAATTTTTTCTCTTTATCATTATTAATTATTTATTATTATATATTATTACTACTGTTATTATTATTATTTATTATTTATTATTATTACTACTATTACTATTAATATTACTATTGTTATTCATATTTAATATTATTAATAATCGTCCTTTATTTACCCGGCAACTAATTATTCCTGTATAATATACGCTAGCGATTAGAAAAATTTATATTCGACTCGATAAAGGAGAAACGAATGGAAAGTATAAAATACAAAGATAGAGATTTTAATACCTCGTAATAAGTCGAAATTATCGTAACGAAAATCGAGTACGTAATAATCTTTATGTGTAATTTTATGTTTGCCTACGTGCCTGTATATTTGTGTACGTGTGCCCTGCCCTGCCCCGCCCCTCCCTCTGTCGCTCCAACCCTGTACGTGCGCGAATGCATGTTCTTAATATAATAAACTTCTACACACTTTTCATAGCTCTAGATCGAGGGACAAAAAATTGTAAGAAAATGCATCTCTTGCATTTTCCTTTTCGCTCGGCTGGGTTGACATGTACGCTTTATTGCTATGTACTGATATGAATTGATATCCAGCATCAAAGCCAAATCGTTTGGACCCGTTGCGTGACATGACGTTTAATAAATATCATCCTTTTTTGCGCCTTATTATAATTTTCGTAATTTTGATGAGGATTTATGCCACGTGTTGTACCGCCACATCGCACAGAATGTATGGCACTTACTTACATTTAACATTATATTCTTTTTCTTTGTAAATAATCGTTTTTCTTTTCTTGAACTTACGTTCTTATATCTTAAATAAAGATCCTGTATTGTAATATTTCAGGTGTATCTACGCCTGTGTATCTGTGCGCCTGACTATGGTGCAGTTAACTAAAGTGATTGATTGATTGGTTGGTTGGTTGGTTGGTTGGTTGGTTGGTTGGTTGGTTGGTTGGTTGATTCATTGATTGGTTGATTGGTTGCTTGGTTGATTGGTTGGTTAATTGGTTGATTGGTTGGTTGGTTGATTGGGAGTTTTAGAGTAGTTTACCACAAGTTTATTTGGATAAGATCGATACTTTTTCTTTGCTGAACTCGAGGCATAAACGTACGCGGACTGAAAATTGACTAAATGTTTTATTGAACGGCGCACCATTTGCATGAACTGTGTACAAAGCTTGTTTATATTTGTAATTCCTACCCGTTCAACGGATTGTCCCGTGTATGTATATATACATACATATTTGTACCTGACTTTGATTATTTATCTGTCTCTGTTACGAGCACGCGAGTAATGGTCGGTTGTGCGCTTTTCTTTCGTGAAAACCAAAATATTCTCGGAAAAGAATATCCTACTCTTCTGCGCATATATTATAAATACACGCGCGCGCACACGCGCGCCTATTTATATATATATATATATATATATGTGCGCGCGTGTACATATATGTGTGTGCGTGTGCGTGTGCGTGTGTGTGCGCGCGCGCGCGCGCGCGTGTAATTTGGTATCTACGAGAGCCTCCTCATCAGCCTTTCACTGCTTAAATCAATTTTCGTTTTTTGGTACATCGGGACATTACCGAGACGAAGTCAAAGGTAATTCGGTCGGCCGGTGCAGCAGAAAAATTTGAATGTCCCGCGCAGATATGAAGGATGCCTATTTGGTCGATTTTCCCATCGCAAGTTTTTACGGGCGCCGTTGTTGCGATTAAGACGATTAGCCGCTTCCTGGAGCGCGACTGGCCGCTCTGTGGACAGTATTAAGCATTTGTTTGGTCGGTAAGTAGCTTCACCTCGGCTCTTCCGTGACTTTTATTTCCTGACTTTTTTTCAGATAATGCCAGGAGTGGCAAATCCAAAAATAAAAGTAAAGAGCATTTATTTTAGAGGTAAGTCGTTTGAGGTGAAAAAATAATTGACTGTTATTTTCATTACGGGGCTGTGATGGAATAGAGCCACGTTATGCCAATAAATTAATTAATAATACTTTGAGTATGCAATTTTCTGTTTAGTGGATAATTAAAACTTACGTCGACAACTTTAAGAGTTCGAAAGATAAAAAGGTGACATTCAAACTTTTAAAGCCCGAGGAACTTTTTGAATCTACTTAATAGATTCTGCTGAATATAGTATATAATATGCCCTATGTGCGTGTCGTCGTCGGGTTTGTATTTTTTTCTCGTGAGAAACTGTAAACACGTTTAAAGAGATATTTCAAGTAAAAATTCTATAATCCAAGATATTCCTCGTCTCGTCATAGAAAATTGTTATTATTATATGAATTTTTCAATGAATTCGTTTGTTTCGCTTTGCATAAATTTTTTTTTTTTTTTTTTTTTTTTTTCCCCTCAATGCATTTTAGTTTCGCGTCAAAAACAATATGATGTTCGAGGGTCCGTTAGCGTGATAAAATTCTATTTACAAATGCAATATTATAATATAAGAAACTTCTTTCAAAAGAACGTTTATACTTTGTGATAAACGGTGATTTCACCGTTAATAGGTCATGAATATCATAAATCCGTATTACAATGTCGATCGGAATCACGAGCAATGGTTTTATAAGTTACCGTCTAATTAAAGCCTCCGTATCTACGCGTATAATTAATTATAAATGTTAACAAATGAAGCTGTTTGTATTCTTCTGAAATAATGAAAATCATACACACATCACGGGCGCACTCGCGCACTCACACGCACACCACATCATATTGTGTTTAAGTATTAAGTTTGTATTGAGGCGTAAAATAAAAAGAGTTTCATATATTTCTTGCTACTAATCTTGAATTCGTAAGAGATACTTTGTTACGATAACAGCAACGACTTGTAACACTTTTAATGTTAGCTAATAACGATAATAATACTATAATAGAATATCCAAATGTTTACTCAATGCGTGCATAAATTAAAAGTAAAAAGTTGGTAAATATGTTAGGGGTTGAAAATATTTGCAGGGTTATTTTCAAGAAATCGCGAGTAATAAACTAACTCGGACGGCCGATTTCAATTTAATGTGAAATTATGAAAGCCAGTAAGTCCGTAATCCAATAATTTCGATAACTCGTTTAAGAAGGAAGAGGAAAGCTCGTTCCCTGGTGGTTGGCTGCCTCCGACGGAGTTGCGGATAAAAATGTGAAATAAAGCTCGCTGGAGGTAGGGAGGAGGGAGCAGTACCTGTATCAGCTTCGGATTGCGGCATAAACTCTTGGAGCTCGGCTATGAGGGCACTGATCTCCTCGGAGTCCTTCTGGATGCTGCAAAGCTCCTCCTCGTTGAAGTCCAGCGTTATTTGCTTGCAGAAGAGGATCTGAGTGATGACGTTGCTGATATTCGACGGACCGGATTTGCTCTCTGGAACGAGTTTCATGGGGGGGGGGGGGGCACGCGTGTACATACACGCGAGCGTGTTTCGGTCAATGTATAGCAATTTGAGTGGATTGATAAAAAAACGGGAGTTTTTGGCGTGATCGTCGCGAGATAAATTAACGAGATTGGATTGTGCAATGATGTTTGGCCATTTATTTCGCTATTACTGTGTAATGAGATTGACGGATGAATTGAATGGCTCGAATGACGGGAAAAATATTCCGTCGAACGTTGTCGGGGCGATTACTTTGACTTTAACATCTCGGATTGTAGATTGTACGTTTAATCACAGTTTTAATCTGTTCTTTTAATATTCCGCATTAATGTCACAGATTATAGTTAGGTAAAAGTTTCTTCTCTCTTTCTCTCTTTCTCTTTTCCTCTCCGCCCCCCCCCCCCCCCCCCAACCCCAACCCCCAAAACCCCCGTAGTCGCAACTCCCCCCCTACCCCCC